GACGTCCCTAACCTGGACCAGGACTTTTAAGAGGCCTGGACCAGGACTTTCAGAAGGTTTTTTGGAGGGCTGGACCAGGACTTTAAGAGGCCTTGACTAGGCTTGTCCTGATCTGATATCTTAGCATTAGCATTAGCATCTGTAACCCACAGCTCTGTGTCCTAACCATTAAGTTTTCAGACTAAATCCCTGTTCAACATGAGTCTGACAGCTAAGTAAGTAGATAAATAACTTTAGACTTTAGTCCAGGCTCTGATAGGCCAGGATCGGATCAGAAAGCTGGATGGGGACGTCCCTAGTTTGAAGGCACCCCAACAAAAAAGGCTCCATTTGTGCTGGTTTTGGAGGTTTTCCACCAGAGATTACAAATCAACTGAAATATCGCAAGCCTTTTATTGTTTTAATATCGCTGATTATGGCGTACAGCTGAAGAAAACTAAAAAATCTGATATTCTAATTTTTTGAGATAGGATTTTTGAGTTTTCTTCAGCTGTACGCCATAATCAGCGATATTAAAACCATAAAAGGCATGCTATATTTCAGTTGATTTGTAATGAATCCAGAATGTATGACATTTGATGTTTTTTAATTGCATTGCAGAAAATAAAGAACTTTATCACAATATTCTAATTTTCTGAGACAGTCCTGTAGATAAATAACTTTAAACTTTAGTCCAGGCTCTGATAGTTCGGATCGGATCAGAAACCTGGATCAGGACCTCCCTGATCCCCAGATCTGAGCGATATTTCCCCCCATTGACCCGGCCTCTCTGGGCCTTGCAGTTCTTCACAGACGGGATCACCAACAAGCTTCTGGGCTGCTACGTGGGCGCGGTGATGCAGGACGTGGTTCTGGTGCGGGTCTACGGGAATAAGACGGAGCTCCTGGTGGACCGGGAGAACGAGGTGAAGAGTTTCCGCGTGCTTCAGGCCCACCGCTGCGCGCCGAGCCTCTACTGCACCTTCAACAACGGCCTCTGCTACCAGTTCCTGCCCGGAGCCGCGCTGGAGCCCCAGCACATCCGCAGCCAGCCGCTCTGCAGGTACCAGGGAACCAGGGGGAAGATTAGAACCATTAGACCGGGCCAGATCAGAACCATTAGACCGGGTCAGATTAGAACCATTAGACCGGGCCAGATTAGAACCGTTAGACCGGGTCCCAGAGGACAA